AGCTCTGCAAAAGAAGCGATTTGGTGACAGCGCGTGGTGGTCCCGAACGGTGGGGACCCTGCCAACACCACGGAGCCCCTGCCCGGTCACTGTGGGGGAGGCGAACGTTACCTGAGGCGTAAGCACTTGTGGGGCTGCACGTCCTCCTCCTTCCAGCTTGGGGGTGAATGTGGGGGGCAGAGAAGGTTTGGGGGGGGTTTGGAGGGATGGAAAGGAGGAAGGTGAGCAGGAGAGGGGAGGAGAGAGAGAAGATGAGATGTTATGAGAGGTGATGCTCGTGGGGGAAATGTGGGGGGCACGGGCACCCCTGAGTGGGATGGATGGGGGCTGCAGGCCCTGCCAGCTCCTGGCTCTTCAACCCCTAAGCCCATACTCACCTCGAGGCTGGGGGGGAAGCAGGACCCCCTCAGCCTTGCACCCACAGCAGAGCAGCAGCAGCCCCATGGCTCCCACAGCATCACAGGGGAAACTGAGGCACAGGGCCACGGAGGAGCAGCGCTCCCTCTGCCCACCTAACCCTGATGCTGACCCAGGGCCCCATGCTGTGCTGATGGCCTGGGTGTCCGGGGTCTCTGGGATGCTTTTAGGCTGGAGGGGACCGGGGACACGGTGCAGAGCAGCCACCACCAGCAGCGTGGCAGCGCCGAGACCCCTCTTGTCTCTTCTCATCGGCGTGGGGGCCGCTTGGCACCACTGCTCCCCACTGCCATGGCCATGGGACGCCCATTTCAGCCTGTGGGAACTGAGTGCTGCTCCTCGCCCAGCTCTGCACCAGGGCCACGCAGCATCACTCTCACAGGGGCGTTTTTGGCCATGCTCGGTTCCCCTGTGCAAGGTCCTGGTGCTGTGGCCACATGGAAAAGGGCAGCAAGGAGGAGCTGAACGTTGTGAGATGCTTCATGAGGGTCACAGCAGCCCAGAGTCCGTCCATGGGGAACAAACGTCCCCCTCCAGAGCTGCGAGCGGCGCCAGAGCAGGATGGGTGCCCCAGCACAGTGCTGGGTGAGGGGAGCGGGGCTGGGGGCTGCCCCCCCGGGTCCAGACTGGCGGTGACAGCACCACGGGGACACCACGGGCACACAGAGATGAGCAGAGGGGGCAGAGAGGAGGGAGAACGTGGGGCCGGGGGCTGCACCCTCCTACCTTTCCCCCGGGCAAGCGGCAGGGCTGGTGCTTTTCTGGCCGGGGGTGAAGGAGTGATAAGGCGGTGGTGGGGCTCCGTCGGGCAATTTTTTCACCTCTGAATTCCTAAATCCTCCGTCGCGGGCGCGGTACAAATGTTCAAACATAAGGACCAGCTCTCTGAGGTTGGGGGGTTAAAATAAAAAGATGGAGAAATTAAAAAACTTTCCAAAGCAAAAGAGATGAGCAAACCAAGGTTGAGCGGAGCCGGGTCCTCCTCTGTGTGAACCAAAGCATAAACCAGGGCAAAATAAGAACCAGAGCAAAAAACAGAGCCAAATAAGAACCAGAGCAAAATAAGAACCAGCGCAAAAACCAGAGCAAAATAAGAACCAGAGCAAAATAAGAACCAAAACCCAGCATTTTCTTCCCAAAGGCAGTTTCTTAACAGCCCTGATGGGTTGA